TATCTATCTATCTATTTATCTATCTATCTATTTATCTATCTATTTATTTATTTATTTATGCCTGATATGCCAACAAAGACTAACATCTTCTAAAACTATACAAACGAACGAGCAGGTGATACCTTTATTATAGACCACTAAAAAAAGTGCTTTTTTCAGTGGTCTAATTAAGGTGTCACCTGCTCTTACATTTGTATTGTTTTGGAGACCACACAGCCCTTTTCTGATATCTTCTGAAACTAGCTTTTCTGAAACTTCTGATTTATGTTTCCTACCCAAATTCTTTTGTTCAGTTTGAGGCTCTGAGATCGAGACATCGTCTTGACTGCCACACCCTTAGATGAGCTTTTCTGTGTTTCCTTCCCTGTCCCTGACCCCACAACAGGCAAAAAGTGGTGGTGGAGGTGGAGGAGGAGGAGGCCGGCGACGAGGAGGCCAGCGTCACAAAGTGAAGTCCCAAGGAGCGATCGTGACTCCTGCCGGTGGCTGCTGAATGTCTTTCTCCTTTTCCATCGCTGAGGAACACCCCCTCCCTTTTCTTCTTCCGACATCCAAAAAAAAAAAAAGAATCCAGAGCAGCCTAACCAAAATCCATCCCAGCTGCTGCTGTGGATCTCTCTACTACTTCTTCTTTGTCCCCCTCTTAGAGGGGAGTGACTGGAGAATATGGGTAGTCGTGGGGTTGCAGTTTAAGCTACCAAGGTGACAAAGCACACATGAGACTGACTGCTTCCGCCTTCTCCTTTTAAACCCTGCCTCCTAAAACATTTTGTACATCGTGAGCTTTTAGTCATGATTTTTATTAGTTTTTATTATGGTGGATGTTTGTGGACGTTTGGGTGTATGTTTGTGCGTGCATGAAGAGTTGGGAGCATCTAGGTCTACAGTGCAAAATACCTGCCTCCTTTATCCCCCCCATCATTTTTTAAAAAATATATACGATTGTCTTGACTTCCATTAATTCCTGAAATCCCAGACCTTGAGCATCTTGAATATGCTAGTTCATCCCGGGGGGGGGGCAGCAGTTTTTCTCAGGCACCAGGTTTTGTGGTGCAAAACCATCCGTTCTTCTTATGATGTAGCAATGGCTGCGGTTGGTTCATTGGCATGAAGGAATCTCTTCCAACCAGTAGCATCTCCAAAGCTAGATCAAGGTGAGGTCTCAGATCACCAAAGTATGCACTTACCGTGGCTTATTTAAAAGCAGGGGGCAGAAGGGCCACAAATGTACTCTTTCCTCCAGTCCAGAAACTAGGGTTGGTAGCTTCACAGAGTGCCAGTTGGGAAAAGATTGGTTTGGCATGATTCTTTTATTTCATGGGTTGGATTCAAAATGGATAGCTCTTTGCAAAGCCAGCCATCATGACTGCCCTTGTTCGAGTTCAGGCTGTATCTGGTTTTGCAACCAGCTATGTCCACAAAGTGTCAGAGGGAAGAGGGATGGTGTAAGTTAGTTTCTTGTGGCTCACCCATTTTCACCTCCATGGCTTCCAGCCTGTTTCAAGACCATTCCCATTCCCTTCTCAAGAACAGATGGTCTCGGTGCTCTCTGGTCCCTTTGTATTTGTGTAGGGAAGGAATGCACAACTTCATGTTAGAAATGGGTGCAGCCTTCCCTAGTTGGGCACTTAACTTTCAGAATTAATGGCTATGTTGAAGGACCTGGTTTCATACCCTTCTTGGAATTTTTACTGTGCTGTGGGAATGACAGGGACTTTGCAGAGATGAGAAATGTGTGTCCTCTTAAACGACAACTCCCAGGATCTCACAGCTGGCATGGTCAGTGCCTGCGCTGGCTATGGGATTCTGGGTGATGTGGTCTTAAAAAATCAAACCAAACCAAAGGCCTCCCATCTTTATGGCTTTCTAAAAGTAGGCAGAAACACTCGGGGGTTTATTTGAGCTGGCTTTTGGACATGGGTGCACAGTTGCGATTTTATAACTTTGATAGAAAATGCATTTGCCGTCTCTGTTTAAGCCACTAATTTTGAATTGACTTTTAACTGGTATCATGCTGTTGTTTTTAAAAAGAAAAGTTTGTAGTTCACTGGTTTGTAACTTTTACAGAAGTTCCCCCCATGTTGCAGTCTCTAGCTTCCTTCTATCCAAACAGAATTTTTTAAATGGCCGACTTCCCCTGAAGTGAAGAATGACTTTTGGAGTGCAAGGAGGCATGCTTTATGCCAGCTTTTGCCCATGTAGTGCCCTCCAGCTGGGTTGAACTACAGCCTTCAGTGAGGGTTGCGGTCCAGTTCATCTGGAAGAGACCCAGTTGGTGGTGAAAACTCTTTAATGCCTGAAATCTGCTGGTGGTGATCCACCGCGGCTGAGGCATTAATAGTGCCCTCAGAGGAGAGCAGGACCAAAGCGAGATGGCAGTTGCCTCCTGTTGTTGCCTTTGGCGCGGGAGCGGCATCCAAAGTAGCTCATCAGACTCATTGCCTTCAATTTCCAAGGGAATGCGAGACCTCTTTGTGCCGCCCCCTTTTTCTCTCTCTTTCTCCCTTCATTCCTGAGTTCTGGAAGAGGAATGGGCAGTGCTGACAACTTCCTTTTTAAAAAACTAAGCAACTGAAAAAGAAAGGGAAAAAAAAGAAGCAAGCACAGTATTGTGTTCTCTTTTGTGACCAGCATTTAAAGACGACGGAGGCTGGCATGGTGTTGAAAATAAAATAAAATAAAAAAGAAAAGATTGTTTAAAATATCAAAGCAAACGCTGTGTTGTTTTTGGTCCTCTCCATGGTGAGGAGAAAGGGGGAGCAAGTGTCTTGCCACCTTGGGCTCCCAGAGTGGAAAAGAAGGTGAGATTTCAGTCAAACATATATTTTGAAAGACTACCATTTCTCTTTGAAAGCTGCGTTGGAAGAAAGTTGCATTGGACCACTGGGGCTTTATCCTCCAGGCATGAAAAGAGCTTCAGCTGTATATGTATTTTTAAAACTGCTCCTCATGCAAAAATACAGTTCGGTGGAGGGCTGCCGCACCATTAGGTGAAATAAGGTGAGTAGCTAACGTGTCAGGTTTCGGCTGTCTCAGAAGGGAACTATATGGGTCGTTATGTACTGCCTTTGTATATTTTTACTGCCAGGGGCGGGGAGAGTCTTTTGTAGGTTTTTTTGTGCCTCAGGTGCTTAAACATTGACTGGAATAGGATACTATGCACCATGGCATGTAGGGGGAGGAGGTGATATTTGCTGCAGGGCCTTGGGCAGCAAAATGTCTAGGACAATTCCTGTTTTAACCTGAAAGGTCCAAAGAGGATTCAACTGTTTCCTTCAAGGCAGCTGAGGCTGGTCTACGTGTAGAAAAGCACTTAGTATCTCCCAGACCCCGCTGCTCCTTTGCTCTCCTGTCAAGAACTGTAAGCGCAGAAGCGGGTTATGCCCTCTGAGCACTGTGCTCACATCCTCAGTAAACTTATATCCCTCTACAGTCTTTTTTTAAAAGCAAGGTGACAGGAGCTATTTTTTCTTACAGTAGCAAGTGGCACCCAAAAAACTCAAAAACAATTTCAAAGGATTGCCATTGCAAAACAAAACAAAATCCAACCGCAAAACAACAGCAATCTCTCTTAAGCAATTCTGGTGTCTCAATCAAGGTTCTGTTTGATCCAGGCAAGGTAAGTAACAGTAATTTGAAGTGGGAGGGAAATTGTTATTACCTTGGGGGTATTCATATCTGTAAACGAAAACTAGTGTCCCCATCCAAGGTGCACCTTTGGGTTTGCCTTTTTTGTAATGGCGACTCATCAATTTCAGTCTATTTTTAAAAAAATAATTGGAATTGAGAGAGTGAAAGAGTCAAAGTCATATAGCCTTGCTGCAACTTTGATAATAGCATTACGGCAGGGGGGATATGAAGTGATCTCGAAGATGTTGGCCTGCAATTCCCATCAGTCCTACTTAGTAAGGACTAATGGAAATTCTGTATTAAAATCTGAAGGAACGTGCGCTCCCTGGCACTAGTTTAGTGCTTTAGAGCCCGCCTGTGCCCTGCTCTGAAGATAAGCTCATCGATTGCTAGTTTCTTCTCTTGCTCTAGGAAACTGATCATAACACAAGACCTCATTTTATTATTTTCTCTCTCCCAGTTTTTCAACTTCAACTTTGATGCAGCACAGCTGTGTGTGCCAAAGCAAGCTCCTCTGTTGCAAGGACATAGCTGCAGAGCAGTGACTGCATTTTAAAGCTTAGCATGATGGCCTGTTGGGTGTTTTAGTGGGATTGGGACTCCACCATCAGAGCTAGTGAGTATTACATGTGACAAGTTGCACAGCAGTATACGTTACAAACATCTTCCTCACCCTTTTGCCCTGTAGATGTGGATTGTGCTTCCTGGCATCTTCAGTTAGCTGGCTGGGGTCTTCTCTAAGGTGTTGTTCAAGACATCTGGATCTTAGGGGAAGGCCATTTCAAGAGCACTTATGTTCTGCTGTCGCTATGCACTGGGAATTTTTGATCGAAAGCACTCTGATGGCAGGAGTTCCGCAGCTGTTGATATTCTACTGCAATCTTAAGAGCAGAATTTCTGCTCTTCTCAATTTGTAGCATTTTCCCTCGCCACACTCCCCCCAGGTCCTCTTCTCCACAAATGGACATTCTCGCATCTTTTTTTAAAAAAAAACTCATTTATTGTCTTGGGTTTCTTTTGCATAGGCAAAAATTAACAGTTGATATGAAATAATGAACAAAACAGTGCAGCAGTTGCTATGGGCTACAGTTTTAGATATAGACCAGTTTCTCTGTCCGCTTTGCATTGCAGATAGCTATTTTCAAAGAAGCATTTTTATTAACCTTATTAATGTAGTGGCCATCAGAAAGCACAGGAGGATGGGCCATAAAGAAAAGCTGGCAGGGGGAGTCACAACTTGGATGCTGCTTCAGTTATGTCGGCACCATGCAGAGTATGTATAAAGATAGTTGCTGCGTTCCAAATGCCAGCTCTGTGGCCTTCTTGACTCATGGCGGTGACATGCTTTCCAGTCAATAAAACACTGAACACACATTTGTGGCTAGGCCGAAACAGGTTATAAAGATGATTGCAGCATCTTACTGCACATAGGAAACTATTGTGAGTAGAGATGGGGGTATTCATATCTGTAAACGAAAACTAGTGTCCCCATCCAAGGTGCACCTAATGCAGGTCCAGCTCTTGGAACTGGCCCGTCCACTCATGGGCTGTCAGCCTCTCTTTTTGCCAATTGTGGAAGTCACTGTGCCGTCTCCTGGCTCAGCTGGCCACTCCAGGTAGGAGGACATGTCTCCCTGCACGGCTGCCGAGTGGCCAGAAGAGCAGGAAGACAGCAGAGCTACTTCCGCGATTGGAGCAGGAGGTTGGCAGCGTGTTGAGTGGATGGGCCAGTTCCAAGGGCCGGACCTGGATCAGGTGCACCTGGGATGGGGATATTTGTATTGGTTTATGAACACGAATATCCCCATCTCTTAATTGTGAGCATGAGATTACTGAATGACCATGGAACCAGTGGATGTCTGAATCATCGGTTTTGCTCAGTTTTATCACACATGCTAATAGTGATATGGGACTAAAATTCTGGCTACTGACAAGGACAACTGGAAAGATGTCACCTCCCTCCAAGTGCACACCTAAAATAGCTGAACACTGATTTAATCTTAACTTTTTTTCTCTTTTTTGGCAGTCACAATAAATATATACCCTTTCAATAACAATAGTGAGTCTTGGTGGCACCAGACATCTTAAATATGTATGTAAAGAAGAGGGCAGCAATCCCCAGAAGCTTATGTCAAATACAATTTGTTTATCTTTAAAGTGCCACAAGACTCTTTGTCATTTTTGCTGTAATAAACTAGCACAGCCACCTTCTGGGAAACATTTTCAACTGAAGTAAAGGAGCACTGGCATTCATGCAAAGGTCCTTAATAACAATATCTTGCCCCCCATATACCAGATAGAATCACCTGACATTTTAGAAGTGAAGTTTTATGAATGCACACTTCCATGTATCTGTTTCCTCAGTTACAGCCAGCCTCTCATCTTTTACAAGGTAGAAAATAAAAAATAAGCAACACATTAAAAATAGAACCAGTGCTTAACACTCACCCATTTTGGGGGAGTACAGCGATAAGAGCTAAGCTGTAACTCAAAAATTAAGCTTTTATTTCACACACAGAAGATAAACATCTGTGTATTTGATATTTAAAAAATCTTAACACTGTTAGCTGGACTAAAAGCACAGAGCAAAATCTTTCCAGAAGCACTCCAGCCTATAAATGCAGGGGCAGCTCAGATGCAAGTCCCTCCATATGCATGTTGTGAGGGAAATGCTAAGTAAAATGGGTGGGTGAAGCGTGGGAATGACTGAGGCATTTTTGTAATGTGCCAGCCTAAGCCACATTCCTTCAGGAACACAGGCTCTTCCACGAGGCTGATGATGCAACCTAAACAACCTGATTAATGCAGGATTTTTTTCCCCACATGCCTCACGGAAAAGGATTGTTGCTTGCATTTACTACCATCTGGCACATAAGGTGGAGGGTTGTGTAGGAGAATGTGTGGCCTTTCAGATGGCAGAAAGAAGCTCCCATCAGTCCTGGTTCTGCAACATTTTGAGGGCCACGTACGTGTCCCCTATCCTTGATATGAAGTCATCAAAATACTGCACCAGAAAACAGGGACAGAAAAAGGTGATGGCAGTAGTTTAGTGTGACATTACACTTCCCACCTCCCCAATAGGGTCCCTTCCAGCCCTGCAGTTCTAAGTGTATTATAAATAACAGCTAGAAGAGTTTTCTTCAGAATGCATCTGCTGTTAACATGGCTAACTCTACGATACAATGAAATTTTACATTAGGACTAGATGAGCCTTTAGATAATCTAGCTACATATTCCTGCTAAACTACAATGCATGTCAGGAAATAACCTCACACAATTTCTTCATTAATTCAACACCTTTCAGTCTTTTTAAGGTACTCACATTAAGTCATACTCATGAGCACGTACTATATGGTATTGTCAACACTGAAGTGGCAAGATCAACATAATACTGTAGCTCTCCTAGTAATCTAAGGGGCATATTCCATTTCTTCTGGTTGCAAGATCAAAGCTCTCCCTTCAGCCATTCTTCTCCCCAGACACATGGCCTCCAATGTTACTGTGCTGTCATAGTTTTCTCAAGGGGGTCCAGCAAGAGTGCTGGTCAGTGTCAGGTCACAGAGTCTCCTAGCCCTGTGGGTACAGGCTGTTATGTCAAAAAAGAGCAAAAAAACAGCCTAAGCTGGACACAGCCGTGGTCTCATCGCTGAACTAGCAAGAAGTTATTTATTTATTTATTGGACTTATATACTCATCGCTGAACTAGCAAGAAGTTAGATAGTTATATACCTGGAAGGAGTGCAAGCTTCTCTACTTCACAGCAAGCTGCTTCTTCAGGACCCTCAACTCTTGCACTGACGCACAGACCTCTGACACCCCTCTAGATTTTGCCTTTTTGCTTGCCAAAAAAAGTGCTGTCACCCCACAGCTATCTAATCCAGGTGAGCAAAAGTGCAAGTCTCCAATAAGACTCCGATTCCCATCAGCCCTAGGCAGCACAACCAACAAAAATGCTGAGAGTTGCAGTGTCATCAACATCTGGAGAATTGCAATATGCCCTCCCCTGACCTAAGCAATTATTCACACGCGTTGACCTTTAAGTGAAAACACTGCTCCAGCTGAGGGGGATGTGGTTTCATAACTGGCCGGAGAATGGCCTTTTGTGGCAATCAGCAACCCGTACAGCCCATGGGGGAGCACAAAATGGAGGCAGCTCTGCTGACGGGCCCAAAGGCCAGCCCATTCAGCTCTCTAGAGAGCCTCACGATGCAGCAGTTAAGCTGCAGTCGAAGACTCTACTCACAACTTGCCTTTGTTTCCAGTGGGTTCAGGTAGCCAGAATGAGGTTGACCCATCCTTCAAAAGTTGGTAAAATTGAATAAACTGAGTACCCAGCTCACTGAGGGGCAATGTGTAGCCTGCATAATTAAACTGTAAACCTCCCAGAGACAGCTGTAAATGCTATGGGGCAGTATATAAGCAGCACACTGTCGTCAACACAGCCAGTTCCCCTGAAAATAAGACAAACTAGTTACTCTCAAGTTCTTATTTTGTTTGGAAGTCTGTCCATCCATAAAGGCTCCATATTCATCTTGCTGTTTAACCTGCATACAACATCTCTATATTTGCTAGAATCCTCTCAGATGTTGGCACCATTTATTTATTTATTTATTTATTGGACTTATATACCGCCCCATAGCGCTACAAGCGCTCTCCGGGCGGTTTACAATTTTTTAATTATACAGGCTACACATTGCCCCCCCCCCCCAGCAAGCTGGGTACTCATTTTACCGACCTCGGAAGGATGGAAGGCTGAGTCAACCTTGAGCCGGCTACCTGGGATTTGAACCCCAGGTCGTGAGTACAGTTTTTTAGCTGCAGTACAGCGTTTTAACCACTGCGCCACGAGGCTCTCATTTAATGAGACATCCACACTAGGAAGCCTGTTCCTTTCGAGTATAGTTTTTACTATTAGTGAATAGGCACATCCTTGTTAGTGAGTGGCAATTTTTCACAAAGCAACTCTCTACTGTCTTATGAAAGAATGAGAATTTCATCTTCAATTTCCCTATATTTTGAGAGTAGTCCGGTCTACACATGCAGCAGATTGAGAAAGACATGTAGACAATACCACCTGAGAGTAAAGTTCTTGTATATTTAAAACTGACATGTCAGAAGAGAGGTTCTATTCAGCCTCTTCTACTTGTTAGGAAGGCAGAGGTATTTTTTTCAAAACCAGAAAGAACGAGTCAAACCATCCACCTTTAAACAGTAGAATCTGATTGTGCCAGCACAAGATGCTCCATCTCCTTCTCGTCTCTTGTGATGCTGCAGAAGCAAGGGTAGTTTTCTTAGCAAGCTCATGTGTCCCTTCACCAAGTAGTTACAGGAACATCTTAAGTTATTTGGGGGGATGTGTCAAAGGTGGAACTACTTGTGGTCCCATCAGGTCTTTGCTAACTCAGTGTCTCCAGAAAGAAATCAAGAGATAATGTACATGGCAAAATAAGCATGTAACTCTTTTTGACCATAGGCAGTCATTTGTACTGTATCACAAGTTTGCAGCAGCTTATAAGCGGAAACATGGAGCACGAGAGCAAAGCACACTCCCCATTGCAAGGAGAACAAAGGGAGAATTTAATTTAAGCAAAGGTTCCTCAAGGCTTACGGAACCTATGTTTTAATAACAGGATTCAGCCGTGAAATATGCGAGATGAGAACAAGCATCTCTGAGTATGTACAGGGCGCTCCTTTTTCACCACTCAAACAACCAGTCCCCACATGGGGGGGGGGATTCTGTGTAACCACTTCCACAGTAGCGTTAAGGGCCTCACACGGTTTATTCATTCCATTGCTCAGCCAAATGGGAATGAATTTCATCCATAATCTTTAGTAACAGAAGTGAGAGTTTCTGATTACTTCCCCACCCCTGTAGAAAACAAATCTTTTTCCCCCTCCCCTTCAGGATAACAGCCTCTAGCCATTAAATATGTCATATTCCTTGAAAGTAACACCCATTTTCCTCTTCCTTTTTCTACCGTGCAGTTTTGTGGGCTCCCACAAATGTCAATGCCAAGCTACTTCTATGAATAAATCAAAACCCAAGAAAAGGGAAGGGAAACGGCACTAAATCTCCAACCGTTCTCAACTAAGGCAGAATTCACAAATATCTGATATCCCACCCACTATGAGATGACAATTACATAAATACCACCAGAACTCTGTGGGTTATTCATATGTTTCTCTAGAGATGGAAACATTTTTTTTGTTTGGAGGTGGGAGGGAAGAGAAGATGACCTGCATAGGCTTGTTTTAAAGTGTAAAAACCCCAACTTTTAAAAAACAGCTGAATAAGAAAATACCACATCTAGGAGCCCTCTTGTACTCCCTTTGCGCACTGAAAGGGAATTCTTTCCAGGAGAGAACCCATCGAGCAGAGGAAGGTGGACGCTGCCAAGTCCTCCACATCCTCTTCCTATGAGCAACAGAACAAAAAGCAGCAGCAGCAATGTTGCCCTTCCCAAGTTGCTCTCCCTTCCGCTGTGGCTTCCGGCCAGCCATTGTCAGTCCGAGGCGCAGAACTTGAGGTAGCCAGCGAGCAAGACTGTGGTGCTAGGAAGGGGTTAAGAGACCAGCTCCCCATGCACACGGAAACGGTAGATACAGGTATATTCTGGGTGGCCCCAGTTGCTGAGAACTCTTAGTTCAATCAGCTGGAAAGCCGCCGTCCTGTCTTCACCCTGGGGGGGGGGGGGGAGGGGGGATAAAGAGAAAGATGAAATATATACTTGGACCATAGCTTGGAAAAGTTGCCTTTCTGGACTAGGGGGGGGGGGAAGAGGGAGGATAAAGAGAAAGATGAAATATATACTTGGACCATAGCTTGGAAAAGTTGCCTTTCTGGACTATAATTCCCAGAATCGCCTAGCAAGCATGAAATTATGGGAGGTGTAACCCAAAAAAGTAACTTCTCCACGCTGTTCTTGATTAAGACCCAGAGCGCGCGCGCACATGTGCGCACGCACGCATACACACACACACACACACACACAGTGTTTTATTTTGTCCTGCATAAGAAGAGAGAACATTTGAAGGATTGCTTCCCTCTCCGTCTAGCTTGGCCTTGATTTCTTTTAAGGCACCCATGTACTAATTGAAATAATGTCTTCGCCCTTCAAGAAGCACATTTATTGCTACTGCTACCACAGCAATAGTTACAAGAGCACCGTCCTCCAAATAACATTATAAGATCTCAGATACAGGGAGGTCCACCCACTTCTGTTCTTCTGTGATAAGCCTCAATGACCCTAACCAACTTCATAAAAGGGAGGGAGCCTAGAGATTCTGAATCCTATTTCTTCGGCTGTCGGGAGGGACATTAGCATGAGAAAAGCATCCAAGTCATGTGGAAGAGAGCAGCAAAATGGCCAGTCCTGTCATCATCATTCCCCAGAGCTAGTGTATATGCTGGATTTTCTTCCATAACCATCAAAATATCTTAAGCACAGGCAATTTTTGATCTCCAATAGTTGCTAGACTGTAACCCCTCTTCCATTCTAGCCAGCACAAACCAGATGTGAGGAATAATGGGATGGAATCACAGTTCAACAGCTGCCCACTCCTACCTTAGAAATCAGTGAGCTCCAACTGGCCCTTCTTCAGTGCTAGTCAATCCTACCTTAGCTGCGCCTTGGGATCACTCACCCACCCTCCCACCCCTTTGTTACGTTCTCTTCCTTACCTGGAAATAGAATGTCTGGATGGGATCCCCATCCTGGTTGTATGTAAACTGCCCAAGGAGGACACCCTCTTGCTGCCCTTCATCTTCTAAACCCTGTGGAAGCAAAGACAGATGTGGGGAGAGGGAAGAAGTGAGGAAGGTGGAAAAGGAGAGGGAAGGTCCATGGGGAGAACAGAGCAATCACAGGATCAGAGAGAAGGAGGGACACAAGTGCAGTTAAAGGCCACTCTTGTCACTGCATGCCAAAATAAAACACAGGGCAGTGCGGAGGCGAGGGAGACACAGGGGCAGCAGGTGAGAGGAAGAAGACTCATAGTTATGAATGTTTTATCCACTTTCCCAAACACAGACACAACTATGGAATCTCAGATCAGCACCATAGACTTTTAAAAGTCAAATCAATTCCTTCCTCCTGGAATTTTCAGTTCTGCATTCTGCAAATGCTAAATGTTCTCCAACAGAGAACCTCCAGCCCCTTCTACAATTCCCAGGGTTCTCTGGGGGAAGCAACTCTCTCTCCCCCCTCCACCTCCAACAAAGAGTCCTTCTGCCACCTCTAACAATGGACCCTTTCATCCTTGCTTCAGAGTGACCTTGTACATTCAGTCGCTTGGTACCTTATATCAGAATTTTGGAAGAGACTTCCAAGGTTCTCAAGCTTTCTTTTGAAAAATCAAAAGCTTTCTGCACCCATAAAGGCAAGAAAGAAATGAAGTAACATTTATCTGCAGAAAGCATCCCCTACTCAAGAAAGATTTTAGGTGAGGAATAGATTTACACTGATTTTTTAAATATATATATAACAGCTGATTCCAATGTACTGCTTTCTACCATTTTAGAAAAATGATAGATTTTTTACTATTCTACCTAGAGTGGTTGAGTAGACCAGATAGGCGGGGTATAAATCAAATAAATAATAAATAAATTTTGTTTTATTGGAAAACAGAATGCTAAAATCGGTGGAAAAGAGGAAAAAGTCATTGACAAACGTAAGATGAGAATTAGAAGGCTCTAGCTGTGAGAGTTTAAATACTCTATCATGATCTCTTGGGAATTGTTCATGTAGAAGAGGAAGAGCTCTAGCCGGGATCCAGAGCTTTGAAAGTGCTTCAGCATATCGATAATATTATGTGGGGGCTGGACAAATTAACAGGTTACCCACTTGTAATTGTAGTTCTTCGAGCGGACCTCTGTGATTCATACCATGGGTGATTCGCACCTGCGTGGAGCCTCATCGGAAGATTCTAGAGCTTCTGTAGTAGCAATGAACACATTAGAACATGCCCCTCCCCACCCATATAAATACCTTGGTGCCAAGCATCCCCTTTCAGTTTTCTCAACCACCACTTAATATGTAGTAGGGAGGATGCACGGGATGTGTGAATCACAGAGGTCCACTCTAACTGCCACTTAATATGTAGTAAGCAAACAATGGTGTGACAGAGGGGAGGATGCGCGGGATGTGTGAATCACAGAGGTCCACTCGAAGAACTACAATTACAGGTGGGTAACCTGTCCTTCTTCTTCGTGGCCTCTGTGATCTCGGTCAGAGGAACGTCAAACATGTTGTTAGGTGTTCCGGTCATTCCGCCTAGTGGCAGGCTGTTGCCGGGTTTTGGCTCTTTGGTTTTTGAAGTATGGATTGTAAGAGGTTTGTTGTGGAGGGTCTTGTTGGAACTCTATCATTTCCACTGATTTTGTTGAGGACGTTGCTGGTAGGAAGGGTAAACTCCCCAAAGTCTGGCTGCTGAATATTTCTTTTGTACATTCTCTAGTATATCATCAGTTTCAGCATGAAAAAGACCTGTTCCATTGAAGGGGAGGTCTTTGATACGTGCCTGATGTAACGGAATGGAGTGAGTGTCCATGGACCAGGATGAATATCGAGGATCATCGATATCAGAGCCTGTGTCTCTGTGATGTCGAAACGGAGGTTGCCGATGCGATGACATAGCAGTAGAATAAATGGGCGCTGGCGATGCCAAGAGCAAAGAGTGATTTCCGTCATCTATTGTAGTAGGAAAGTATCTGGAGTCCGGGGCAGCAAAAGCCTCACATGTGGATGAAATCCATTCAACTGTTCAAGGTTTTTTCGATACCAAGTGGGAAGCAGGTTGGGATATAGTCACCTCTCAGTGATGTGACTGCTTTGACACCAATGGTTGTCGAGAGATAGGCCGTCTGGTAGATGGTATTATCGAACTGGGTAAAACACCGAGAGATAAGCCGACTACTAGATGGCATTATCGAACTGGGTAAAACACCCAGTCGACTAGTTGGTGCAGTCTGTCGAGCAGCGGTTGCCTAGTTGTTGCAGTTTGTCGAGCAGAGCACTGGTCGGGGCAAATGGCAACCCGATGTGCATCCTGAGTGTGAAGAAGTGAGCTGTCAAGATTGTTGATGTCGAGTCCTGAGTGTGAAGAAGCGAGCTGTCAAGATTGTTGATGTTGACGGTTCTGGTTAGGGGTCGGTGGGCGATCCGAGGCCATCGAATATGGAATGGTGTCGAGCTGTTCGGGATGGGGATCCTCAGGCAATGAAATAACCGAAGGATTGCTGGAAGGAATGGAAGGTTGTGGGCTAGGAGGAGAGGACATTAGTTGGTCGACTCAATCATCCCATTCTGGAGACTGAGAACAGGGTTGATGAGATGGAAGTCTGTCATCATCTGAGGGAGATCTGACCAAAATAGATTCAGAGAGTTGTGGTTGTGGTGGGATGCCTGTAGGCTTACAACTGTTTAGCTCGTTTAGGATGAACAGGCTGTGCGGGATGCCTGTAGGCTTATGACTGTTTAGCTAGTTTAAGATGAACAGGCTCCAGAGCTGAAGCAGCTTCAGTAGGTCTCTGATGTATAGAAGTTCGTATAGAAGTCAAGGACTTTGATATCGAGGGTTTCCATTTGTGTGTCTTCAGACGATGCAGATGGAGAATTGGAATGAGCTGGTGTAGCCAATGGAGATAGTTCAATGATTCCAGTAATGGCTTTTTCCACTGCTTTGGTTTGGGAAGTGACCCTACAGGGAGGTTGGGCCATTTGAACTGTTGGTAAGGTTTGTTCCCAAAGTCGGAGTTTTAGCCTCGAGGGGCAAGATCGAAGAACTCCGCGTTTAAAATTTTTGCAATGGGTACAGAAGGTTGTTTGATGTTGTTTTCCGAAACAGAAAAGCCACTTAGCGTGTCCGTCAGAAAGTGGGATCTTATTATCATAGACAACGCAATGCTTAAATGGGCCCAAAGGGGCCAGGAGTAGGAGAAATTAATTGAGGAATCAAGAATAAGCTCTCTTTCTCTTTTACTCACAGAAGCAGAATTATGAGGCTCTCAATGCGGTGGTTGAAAGAAAACTGAAAGGGGATGCTTGGCGCCAAGGTACTTATACGGGTGGGGAGGGGCATATTCTAATGTTCTAATGTTCATTGCTACCGCAGAAGCTCTAGAATCTTCTGATGAGGCTCTGCGCAGGCGCATGCTTTTTCTAGCACAGATGCAGAGTATGATTCGCAGAGGCCACGAAGAAGAATCCTCTTGCCCCAGATAATAACTTTTCCAAGCTCAGCTGGAATCAAAGTAAAACTGGACTGACGGATGAAGATCATCCATCTTCTGCTCCTTTGACAGACTTCAGGAGAATCATCTAGTGACAAAGCACTAGAAACAATTGGGAGCCCCACCCCTCCAAAGTTTGGGAGGAGCCACTTAATCACAGGCCGTCTCCCCCTCTCCTTTCCTTAATCTCTTTCCTTTCTCAAGGGCTCTTCATTAGAACCTGCTGGACCCACTAACTTCCCCAGACCCCAACAAAGGAGACTTACATAGACTGCAAAGTCTTTGGGGGCACTGGGAATGGTTCGGGTGGGCGACAGAGCTTTGGAGATGTGTTCTAGTGTGACAGCAGTGGGACGGATGTTGCTGGAAAGTCGGATGACAGCAAAGCCTTGAGACCCCTGGAAGGCCCAGCAGTTCCCAGGGTGGACATCTGGCTGCAATCAAATGGGGAAAAAAACACCACAGTTTTAGCTTATCCTACCAAGCATGTGCATTTCCCACAAACGAGGAGTCCTCAATGATTAACAGGTTTGGCACAAGATTTTGCAAACTGCAGCCCATATATATGCTCAGGTGTGTTTGTGTGTGTTAGACTTCAGCACAGTGGTACTCTTAACACACAAGGGCAGGACTGGCAATGCCACAAGGCAGAGTGAGGCAATGAGTGAGCCCAGCATTTCACAGGATACCTGTGAAACGCTTGGCTCTGTTAAAGTGCTGTCCTTGAGTAACTTCAAAATACTTTTGGAGACGGAGGAAGCAGTGCTGCACTTGCAACCTCAAGCACCTTTATTTTATATTATACATCTCAGCCCCTCCCCCCAATTCCCATTTTCACCCTTTTTCTAGCACAGATGCAGAACGTGCTCCTAACGCAGGCCAGAAGGAAGCTACTGGGATAAAGACAGGGCAGGAAAGAACTGACCGGGATGTTACTTTTTAACTTTAGTCAGATTGAGCAGGTCCAAGAATCCTGTCCTGTGAGGTTATCATGCCCATAAGCAACTTCCTCACCTCCTACCCTGCTCTAAACTAGATACAGGCTAGCTTGGTTATGTCTGATTCTCTCCCCTGTTCAAGAGCTGATGGGAAAGAGGAGCGCAGAGCAAACTCTGGATGAGCACTTGGTATCACTTCGCAGATGTTAAACTGCTTCTTGGCCCTTGCAGGGCAGGACGACTAACCATCCAGACATCAGGGTCTCCACAGAAGCCTCAAAAGTGTTATTCACACCACTGTCTGCTTTCTAGATTTTTACCTGATGAGGGGCACAAGAGACCCAAGGAAAAATACCGTATTTCTCAAGAAGACAAATTTCATCCTGTATAGGGTATACACAAAGATGTGATACTCTGGTTTGGGAGGAGCTTATAGCAGCACACAGAAACACATCAGTATCTTATCAAGCTCTACATTTGTTGCCAACATGTGTAATACAATCATTGGGCCAGTCATTTTATCCCCCCGCCCCCATAATCATCATCATTTTAGAATTGGAGAGCTGGAAGGTATCCTATGGATCATCGAGTCCACACACCCCTTTATAATCATCATCATCTTAGAATCGCAGAGCTGGAAGGTATCCTATGGATCATCAAGTCCAGCCCCTCAAGGAGGACCAGTGGGGAATCGAACTCCAAACCTCTGACCTCACAGCCAGTTACCTAAACCACTGAGCTATCCAGCAGTTCTCTTGAGTCTGTTTTACAGGGTTATTGTAAGGCTAACATGGAATGACCCCACAGCCAGTTAGCTAGACCACTGAGCTATCCAGCAGTTCTCTTAATTGAGTCTGTTTTATAGGGTTATTGTAAGGCTAACATGGAATGACTCACCTATGCCACCTTGAACTCCTAGGATAAAGGACAAGATGAACTGAGAATAAACCAACTGAGATACTATAAACTGAAGGTAGATATTTTGAGGAGATTAAGATGACTGGAGGAAAAACCAGGACAGAGCCACTGCATCTGTAATTAATTGATTCCCTACCTGCAGTATTACCCGTGGAGACTGAGAATGGTACCACAAAGGGATTCCAAAGAGACTAAGCAGTGCAGTCTTGGTTTCATAGGTTTCTGAGCATCGGGTGCTGATAACACTGGCCCCTGCAATTAAAGAGACACATCTGAGGTCAAGCCACGTCATTTTTGTCCACAGTTCAACAGGAAGAGGATTGAAGTCCTAAACAGAAACTGGAATATTTTATACATATTAGCCTACATTATTCTGGTTGCATAATGAGGAAGAGGTGGTTTCTGTCAAGAAACTGAAACTTGGAAAAAGGAGTGATGAAAACACTCCTTTTCCATCAAAAATTAAGAAACAACAGATGCAGGGACACAAAAGAAGAGCTCTCAGATTTTTCAGCTTGTAGCTGAAACTGATCTAAAGTCCTGTTATTCTTTGCCTCTTGAGACCTAGAATCATGGTGTTGCTATATTTTTGAGTGAAATGCAAGATTCTCATGCTTTGTTCTTGCAACACTATTGCTCCCATCCTTCTACACGATCAACATTACGTCATTTTTTTTTCATTCAGTGCCTCCATGAACGATCCAGAAACTGATATTGGACTTTGTTTACCTGCAGATTCAAGTGCATAGTCAAACATTCCAATACGATCCTCACTGTAGCGTTTCAGAGCCTGGTTCACAATGCCGTGCACTTCCTGGAAAAAGAAAGAAGACTAAATCCAAAGAAAGGACTGTCAGAAAAAGCTCCATTCTGTTTTGCAAAGTTGCAGCTGATGGACTGGTACAGTAACACAGGTGGGCTTTATGCTGCCAATATACCGATACAGCCTGGAAAAGACCCTGATGATGTTGGGGAAGTGTGAAGGCAAGAGGAGAAGGGGACGTCAGAGGACGAGAAGGTTGGATAGTGTCATCGAAGCTACCAACATGAGTTTGACCAAACTCTGGGAGGCAGTGGAAGACAGGAGGGCCTGGCGTGCTCTGGTTCATGGGGTCATGAAGTGTCAGACACGACTAAACAACAAATACCAATACACCAGTACTGCTGGTGTATTGATACCTGTGCCATAAATTGCAAGTTGTTACTGTGCCACCATTTGTATTAAGGGGACTGTCTCAATTGAAGAGCCATAACTTTAACTTAAGCTCATTTGTACAATACAGTATTATCTGTGGTATCTCAAAACAAAGCAAAAACTGCTAAAACCTTTACGGATAGCAAGAGTTCCATGGGCTTCCTATGTATCATGATAGTGAAACCCTATAAAAGCTACCCAGTACTATCATCTCCCCATTGCAGAGGGGACAGGAGTGAGTAGATGTTGAATCTCAAAGGCTGTGGCTCACTTAAGGGCACCTCATGGCAGGGCTTGGAAATGTTTCTTTTTTACACTATAATTCCCAGAATCGTGCATGCAGTATAGCCAGTAGTTGGGTAAAGTAAGTGGTTCCATGAGCAATATTTAAGAAAATAAAGTTCTCCAAGTAATTAAATTCACAGCTGAGAGAATATCTGAGCTGGTTATCTTTTGACTCACCATTCATTTTCTTAGTCCCCATACTACACTAGCACCTACTTAGCTTTTTTCTACCACCTGGAAAGGAGGAAAAAAAGGGGCAAACCCACCCCCAAATATTTGGGGAACGTCTAAAGCAAGCACTACCATTCCATAGGGGAATGGTGACTGATTAGGATTATTTGATACTTTTTTTTACCAGCAGAGTGCCCATGACGACGACAGGAGACCGACAGTAAGACAAGAATGAGACTTACTCCTTATTAACCTAGGTAATCACATGTGGCTAGTATGGGAGGAAATAAAATCCCTGATTGTGCTCCCTCTGCCTTTAAGAAACCCTTGTTATTTATGGGGAGACAAAAAGAGGTTGTCCTTTAGGCAGAAAACTAATTAAGATATAAATCAAGGCTATTGGTGCAGAGACAACCAGGGACCAAAGAACAAATCTCATATTCTAAACATACAAACACGACCAGTGGTCAGCAGTAATCGTGGCAAAGTACCCAGAAATACTTCATGGCAAACCGCTTGTGGCTTGTGGCTAGCTATTGGTGCAGAGACAACCAGGAACCAAAGAACAAATCTCATATTCTAAACATACATACAAACACGATCAGTGGTCAGCAGTAATCGTAGCAAAAAACCCAGAAATACTTCATGGCAAACCGCTTGTGGCTAAGTCGCTCCTCACCTCTTCTGTTATTCCTATGACTCCTTCCTTCCGGAGTGCCATTCCAACGTTCCTCACAGACAACTGCTGGTCCTCAGCAATCTTGACAAAGATCTTGTGCTCCAGTTTGTGGAGCTGTTCCTGTAACTCATCACGCCGAAGAAACAAATTGCCTGACCCATCTTCTCTAGGCTGGGACAGGAATCTGGTCAGCCATATGGGAAACTGGACTTCTACCTAAAACCACCAAAGGGGTGGAAACATTTGAGAAACATAAGGCAAAATTTGCTACCGCAAGATACAGTGACTGCTACCCACGTGGATATGTTTATGGATTAACTCATGAACCTCCCCTGAGCTTTTGGTTATCTACAAGGGGAAGAGAACGCTAAATTAGAGGGGTCTTTCTTCCAATCCATCTTGGCAGTTCTTGTGTTCCTAAACTCTTTTTCAGCCTTCTTCTGAATGGATTTTCAGATGTTCATGCAATTCACAAACAAGAATGTCTAGTAATAATCTCCACATTGTAATGAGTAAAATAATAAATAAATAATCTCGGAAAGATCTTTATATAGAGATTTTACAGATATGAACATTCATACAATACTTCTGGATGAGAGTTTATGGAATTCCAATCTGTGCATGAAGAGAGTAAAGCAGCCCATTCCAACTCTTCGGGTCTGGCTGTAAACAGGACGAGGGATAAAAGCACAAGGATTCCCAATGAGACAAAATGTAACAAGAAACTCACATCTTCTCGCATTTCCTTAAACTGTCCTGGAAGAGATTCCATTTGTTTTGACAATGCCTTCTGTTCAGAGGTCAGGATCCCAAATTCTTTCTTTAAGCCTGACAGCTGTGCCTCCAGTATGTCCATCTCATTTCGGAAATTACTCATTAGACCTTCTTGAGTAGAGCTTCAGAAGGGAAATAAAGCACACATTTTTTAAAAAAACCTCCCAAATATGCAATCCAAGTAACAAATGCTTAGATTCTTCAGTAACTAGCCCTCAGTAACACTACCACCAACAAGCTCACTTAAATAAACCCAGAGTAACACCAGATTGTATAGCCTGTGCTATGTTGCTTGAATGTCTATACTTATCACTGTCTTATAGCCTGCATGGTAAGTGCAACCCCGAGAATCTGAGTTTAAAACATACTTTCTTATTTATTACGAATCTAACTTTAGTAGCCTTAGGCTAAGTGGGGTAAAAATGCTTTAAAGAAACAATAACTTTTAAAAAGGTAGCTATCTCTCATGGTTCTAGTGGTCTGCCACTACATATATGATAATGATGATGATAATGATAATAATGATGATGGTAGTGGTGGTAGTAGTAGCAGTTGCAGTGCAGCAGCAGTAGTATTAATAGAAGGAGGATTATAAAAGTTTGACAGAATTAGCTTCTTCTGTGTGTGTCCCCAAATTGAAAGTAAGCTCCATGTAGTCATCTGAGACTGTTCTGTAAGATTAATCTCAAGGGCAACATATTGTGAAGAGGTGAGTAAATGTTCCTTAAATTGTGAAAGTATGACTTCTTTTCCCCTTCAGCTTTCTTATTGATTATTAGGGCTGCTGCTCTCTTTGAACTGTTTGCTTTTTTAAAATATTACAATGAATACTCTGGCTGGGAGATTCTGGGGGTTGTGTCCAAAAATAATGTTTTCCAAGTTCAACTCTAATGGAAATATCTTCACAGAAACCAGCTGTGGCTTGACTGTCCACCAGTTTAATTTTCTTCCTGCCAAAAATAAAATACTCTTGGCAGTATTGTATGATGAGACAGTAAATTTCCAAAAGAGAAATAACTTACAAGTTCCTACAAGCCCATGGATTTGTCACCATCTCTCCTTGATATGATTGTAAAATGGTATGAACAGTCTAGACCGCTACTAGTCAAGATTATTTCTGCGCCCTCCTTGTTGTAAAATGACAACTCCTCTATTCTCAGAAGACAGGAATTGCCAAAGGGTGGAACTGGTGACGCTCAAAATACCTTTGCCACTGAGCTGTCATTTGGACCATCCGGCTCTCCGTTGCCTGTGGGAGAAACAATATGGGATCAGCTGAAGATGCCGGCCACAGAGACTGGTGAAACGTCAGGGAGAACAACCTTCAGAACACGGCCAAAGAGCCCGAAAAACCCACAACAACAAATATGGGATCAGGACGAGAAATCAAAGCAGGATAAGATAAACTACATCTACTAGCCTTCACACAGTTTCTTTATACAATATTAAGCCCCAACTTAAACCTCTCCCATTGAAATTAATGGGAAAAGTGCTGAGTCATGCCTAGTAATGTAGCCAGATGATGTCTCAACAGCTACTGCAAAGTGAGACTGATGTGTTAAAGTAAAAGTTAAACACTACTCATAAGAAAAGAAGTAGTAAAAATTATGGTGCATGATTTGGTTTAAAGATGTGGGGGAATGCAAGTTACAAGACCAGTTTTGATATGTGACAGGCTTCTATAGATCACAGAATCTGAATGGTTTTATAAAAGGTGGTTGCATTTTACCTCAGAAGCCTGAGTGATTTTCTTTTGGAGATGGTCCAAATCCTTCTTTAGCTCTGATCGGAGCACATCCAATTCACTCTGCAGAAAAATAAATAGAGCTAACAAGTGAAATATAACTTTAAGCAAATTGAAAGACATATAACTTATTATTAAGGTGAAAAATGCTCTGAAAACAGCCCTGTGAATCTGAGCACATGCAGTAGCCAAAGCTTCCTGTTCTTAGTGATAGAGTAGTGGTTCCCAACCTTGGGTCCCCAGATGTTCTTGGACTGGAACTCCCAGAAATCCTAGCTAGCACAACTAGTGGTGAAGGTTTCTGGGAGTTTTAGTCCAAGAACATCTGGAAGCCAAAGGTTAGGAACCACTATAAAGGAATCAGTTTTGGCTGGGAGAGAGGATAGCTGGCTAGCTGATGGCTATGGTAAGTTAAGAACATGCCACAACACTTTGCTGTAGGTCGTACTTTAGGTTTTGCAAATCTGTAACAGAGAAACCAGAAAACAGGTTTTCAGTCATTCTTTTCAGAAGGATCACAGGCTCAGATTCTAATTCTATACATTCTGAACTATCATCTCCTTGTCATCATTTTTTTCTGATAAAAATCCCCCTCAAGTTCTCCTTTATTGGTAACTTTGGAAGCCAACCAATAGCAACTTCAGGAGGGGAGCTTTATGTAGGAAAGGGCTTAATTTTCCTTCCTCCTGCACCACAGTCCTGATGCGTTCTCAGGCACCCATTTCCTGGAACACAAGGTTTCTGTGGCAGATATTCAGCAGTTGCTCAGAAGAGAAGATATGGTAAAACACATTTCCTAAAGCTTATCAACTGTGAAAAAATGCAGATCAAGGTAACAAAAGAGGTATGTGAAAGGAAACACTGGTAACCGCAAAAAGGAGCAAGGAAACATTAGTACCATCAAAAGCAGATTTGTAAGAGAACCAATTTTTTAAAAAGAAGACAGACAACATATCGCAGCTAAAGTTAGTTGCTGGTACCTAGGGAGCAAAGGAGAGAGAGAGAAAAAAAGAAAGCTGTCCTCTGCTGGAGCCATAGGGCATTTTCCCAAATGAAACATAAAAGGCACGGCTGCTTAGGTTGACTCTGATGTGAAAGTAAAACCTGAAAGGGCCAAATTGCTCATTTGCATTGCAAATCTCTCCCCTCCTCTTTCTCTTCTGAGTGTAGAATAATTAGATGTTAGTAAAAACAAAAGAAGAAAGGCTGATTTAAATTTTGTGAAAAAACTCATATAATTTTCACCCAGACAGAGTCACCGCCTTTCCAAACATCCAGACCTTATTGTTCTAAAATCCCACCCCAAACTTCCAGCTATTTCATTTCTTCCCGGAGTGAGCAAATCACAAGGAAACAAGGTAGTGTGAAATCAGATGAATGGAAAGGAGCGAGACTGCATGTGGAGGACAGCAGAGAGAGAGCTCAGGAGGCCTGGGAGAGGCACAGTGGTCTACGGACTTCCAATTAGGTAATAGATTTATACACAGTAGGACCCTCATATCCATGAGATCGGTACCTGTAGTTTGGCACAGCTGTACATACAACATACAAAGGCACCCCTTTGTGACCTTTGTCCTGCTCCTTTGTGTGCTGTATATAGGGTTTCCTTGTATCCGTGGTTTCATGAACCCATGGTAGATCGCGGATAAGGGGGTCCTACTGTACTTAACCATCCTTTCTCAACTCAGCATATTCCCAGATGTGTTGGGCTGTAACTTCAACCCTCATCATCTCCAGCCAGCACAGCCACTAGTTGGGGAAGACTTTGCCTGCAGCTAGATTCCCAGTCAAACTACAGAAATTTCAGAGCCGGAGATGAAAATTCCAAAAACAATTGCTTTCCATCAATTTACGATTCCCATTTGCAGCCCTCCAGCCTATCCTGACCCTAGATTCCAAGTCCTTCTCATTGTCTGGAAGCAGAACTTGAAAAAGTTACATTGCAGGTTATAGTTTGCAGGAGCTAGGACAGACCCTGGCCAAACTGGCTTGAGGATTCTGGGAATTGCAGACCAAAAAAATGAAGTCTCCAGGCTCAGAACACAGCTTCTGTCCTCTGAAGATGCTGGCCACAGAAACTGGCAAAACATTAGGAAGAAAAACCTCCAGAACACGGTCAAACAGCCTGAAGAACCTACAACCACCATCTCCAGGCTCTGCTTGTAGGTTCCTTACCTGGAGGCGGAGGTTTGTCTCTGCATGGAACTCATCTCTCATGACAGACTCTCGACGTCTCACCAGCCCATCCAGCAGTGCCAGGGTGTCCTCATGTGACACCGTTGGCCCTTCTGTTGTTTTTCCTCTTTGAAGTTCCAGTAGTGAAGCAGCAGCTTCCAAGGTCTCAAAACGTTTCTCCAGTGCCTGGAGCCGAGACAAAACCTGCTGTTGGACCTGTTAACCCAGGGGCAATAAAAGAGAAAGAGAAAGAAACGCATAACTACATTTCCCACCAGAGTTCAATAACTTCCACAATTGAGTAACATGGGAAGCACGATGAGGTGTGACCCTTGAAGAGTATTAAGAAATCCATGAAGGATCCAGGGCCTGGAACAGCTGCAGGCTTTCAAAGGAAGAATATCCCTTAATTGTTAAATAGTTTTAAACTGTTTACAGTTTAGAGTTTTCATGTAGATTATTTAGCTGGGACCCTTACAAAGGTCCTGTTGAGTCTTATTTGCCATATTACACATGAGAGGGCCCTAAAGCCAAGAGAAGACCAACTTGTCTAAAGCCACTGGTGAATTCACAGCAGAGATGAGATTTGAACCAGTGACCTTCTGGGCCATGGCTTAGGGGTTTATTTTAACCACTTAAACACACCAACTTCCTCCTTCTTCCTCAATCCATTCCTAGCAGAGACTGGACAACGCAATGGTTAATTTGACTTTGGCTGGGACAGCTTTAAATAACTATAGCAGCTATGAACAATTGTGCAGATGGGCCAGCCTCTAAACCAACTTTGATTAATGGTTCTACCATGTCTCTCATCCATGCCAAAACCAGACTTAATTCATCCAAGCTCTGGGAAAGCCAAAAGCTTCAGGCGCAAGAGACTGATCAGCAGGTCTGGGAATCTTTAAGGAAACTAAACTGCCTTAAATCCAACTGAATTCAGGCAGCAGAAAAGTCAACACCAACTAGAGATCAAAGGCAAAGTCTTTTGCATGAAAAATTATAGGCAGGATGGCATCCATCATAATTGGCTGTAGCACTGAAGTGGGGGAGGCAACAGAAGACCACACCACTTTATCTTTCAAGTATACTTGTCAGAGCTAAACCTGTTTTCTAAATGATGGAATCTGCCAACCAAGTGCTCTGTTTCCTAATGCATACTTTGGTAACTCAAGCTGCAGAGCAAAGTTCAGAACAAGAATGATTAAAATGCTCTTCACTCTCCTTGGGATGCTGTGTGTCTCTTCAACTTAGGCTAACATCCAACAGAGAAACTCAGAAAGGTTCCTAGCTTCTATGAGTACACCTCCCCCTACACCATGTTTCACCGAATATTCACCTCAGAGAACCCAGCCACATCTCCTGCTTCATAGTCCTTCTTTGTAATAGGAGGAACCAACTTCACTGCTCCCCAAGAAAACACGGAAGGGTGCAGTCCAAAGGGGTAAAAATACCAGGCACCTAGAACAATTAGAACAGGGAGGAAACCAAGCTAAACATAATTTCAGAGGATATATTAGGAGCATTTTGTTAAACCTATAGGTTCTACTGAACAATACTGAAATATGTTGTTATGGGCTGTCAAATTGCTTCCAACTTAAGATGGCCCTAACATAGTGTTCAAGATACACAAGATGTTCAAGGGGTGATTTACTATTCCTACCTCCCAGTGACTTTCCATGGACGTGTGTTGACTGAGCTCAAGTCTCCTGAGTCCAGTTCCAACACTCTGAGCATGACACCACACTGGCTCTTACTCATATATATTAGTCCCATAAAACTAGGATGCAAAGAAAAATAGGAAACTCACCATAACCAACAGCTGTCAGGAGTAGCAGCAGCAGGAGCAACAGCAGCAGCTTCTTCAGGATTGGATAACTCCTGGGTATCAAACAAAAGGGGAGAGCGTATGTGTGTAAGTGTAGCTATACTACCTGTCCCCTACAGCAGCGGTCCCCAACATTTTTGGGACTGCGGACCAACTGAGCCTCTGAGGAAGGCGAGGCACTCCTCCTGCGCTTGCACAGGCTCTCTCTCCTCTATCTCTTGGGTGCATGCATGAAGCAATGGGGGACCGTGCATGTGCCCACCAGCGCCGGCGTGAGCGCTCCCCCACCCCTTTGTGCATGTGCAGACATCGCTGTTTCAGTAATATATACAGTGGTGCCTCGCTTGACAAGGATAATCCGTTCCATTCAAATAGCTGTTAAGCTTGCGCAGGCTCTCTCTCTCTCTTGGGTGCATGCATGAAGCGATGGGGGACCGTGCACGTGCCCACCCGCACCGGCATGAGCGCTCCCCCACCCCTTTGTGCATGTGCAGACATCGCTGTTTCAGTAATATATACAGTGGTGCCTCGCTTGACAAGGATAATCCGTTCCATTCAAATAGCTGTTAAGCGAAATCCTTGTCAAGCGAAATGAAAAAGCCAATTGAAACACATTGAAAACCGCTCAATGCGTTCCAATGGGTGAAATACCCCAGTGTCCAGTGAAGATCCTCCATAGGGCAGCCATTTTCTGGTGCCTGTAATGCGAGGAATCCGTCCTAAGCACAGCGGGGAGCCATTTTAAACAGCGGGCGGCCATTTTGAAACCTGACGATCAGCTGTTTTCTGATCGTCATAAAGCGAAAAATCAGTTCCCAAAGCAGGGAACTGATCATCATGAAGCAATTTTCCCCATTTAAAACATCATTTTGCGATTGCAAAAGCGATTGCAAAAACTTCATTGTTAAGCGATTTCCTTGTCTAACGAGGTAATCGTCAAGCGGGGCACCACTGTACATGTTAAAAATTTCAGCTCGTTCTAGGACTACTCTATTTGGAACTTTGTCCTGCCAGGTGATACCAAAAATGCATCAGAGACAATGCATATGGAAGGTGTTCAGCTTCCTCTCCTGCCGTGCACAAAGCGTCCAGGACTCACTGCAGTATAGGAGTGTGCTCAGGATACAGGCTCTATAGACCTGCATCTTGGTATATGCCATCAGCTTCTTCTTGAGCCATACTCTCTTTGTGAGTCTAGAGAACATGGTGGCTGCTTTGCAATGCGTTTATCCAGCTCAACATCTAAGCAGAGGGTGTCGGAGATCGTTGAGCCAAGGTACACAAAGTCATGAACAACCTCCAATTCTTGCGTGGAGGTGGTAATAGAGGGAGGTGAGTCCATGCCCTGGCCCATGACTTGTGTTTTCTTCAGGCTGATTGTTAGTCCAAAGTCTTGGCAGGCCTTGCTTTTACGATTCATGAGTTGTTGGAGGTCTTCAGCAGAGTGGGAAGAAATGGCTGCATCAACAGCAAAGAGGAAGTCCCACATGCATTTCAGCTGGACTTTGGTCTTCACTCTCAATCTAGAGAGATTAAAGAGCTTTCCGTCTGATCTAGTCCGGAGGTAGACACCTTCTGTTGCAGTTCCAAAGGCGTACTTCAGCATGACAGGAAAAAAGATCCCAAAAAGGGTTGGCGCGAGGACAGAGCCCTGTTTCACTCCACTTCAGATGTCGAGATCTGATGTTGAGCCATCAAAAACTACCGT